ACTGGGGTGGGGGGCACGCCCCCTCCTCGCGGGGGCCCGGCTGGGTGGTCTGCTCTGCGCTCTCTCTGCAAACATGGAAGTCAGAGCTGACATCGTGCAGGTCCTGGGGAGGCGCCGGCCCTGGCAGCCCCGTTGAGCCGTGTTTCTCCTCAGGGAAGAGCTGGGAGAAGGCCTTGCTCAGGAAGGCGGTGGTGAGCGGCCGCCTGCAGCGCCTGCTTCAGCCCAAGTTACTGAAGTGAGTTCCAGGGCCTCGCCGACAGCCAACAGCCGCTGGGCTGGGGGAGGCTCGGCCCTCCTGCAGGGTCCCCGGCGGCAGTGGCTGGAGGCCAGTATGGAAGCGGGTTGGCCGCGCCCCCTCAGTGCTGGTCTCACTCAGGCAGTTTCTCTGGCCTGGGCCTCGGTGTCCACCTGTGAAAATGGGGACCATTCACGAGACCTGCTTTGTGTGTGCTGATGGGGTGACGTCACGTGGCCAGATCACTGCGCCTGGCCCAGCCCGGGGGCCCGGGCCTTCTGTGGCCTCAGGCCTTGTGGGGTCAGGGCTGCCTGTGTGACGGTCACAGTCCTCCTTGGGCTGTGGGAGGTGGGCTCTCTGATCTGTTCTGGAAGCGGGCATGTGCGCGGGCTGCAGGCCCCGCCTGGGCGCTGGCACACGGCTGGAAGCTGGTTTCCTCTGAGACTTCTATAATACAAATGTTATTTCACTTGATGTTGTCCCCCCAATCCCTTAAGTCATCATCACATTAAATTTTATTTTTTATTTTGCTGCTCTGTCTGTGAATTCCATTGCTTTGTATGACAGCTCACTGAGTTGCGTCTACTTCTCATCTCACCTGCTGTTGAATCCTTCTAGTATATTTTTTTCATGTAAATTATAATTTTTGTTTAACACTTTCTACTAATTATTATTGAAGTTCTCATTGTGTTCATTCATTCTTCTTCCAAGTTCAGTGATCATTTTTATGAACATTACTTGTAAGTCTTTATCAGAAAGATTGTGTATCTTCATTTTGTTTAGTTATTTTTCTGAGGTTTTCTCCCGCACACAGCCCCCCGCCCGCTGGTGTGAGCCTCTGCTGAAGGGGGCGGGTGCCGAGTCGCTTTGCATTTAGAGCCAAGCCTATGGGTTTGGCTGCACGAGGCCTGGCGCCTGGATGGAGCGCCCGCTCTCCCCGCACGGCTGCTGCCAGTGACAGCTCCGCGGGGGTCTCTGCAGTTTGAAGGCAGTCGCAGCGCAGAGGAGATCCGGAAGTTCTGGCAGAACTGGGAGCACCCCAGCATCAACAAGCAGGAGTGGACCAGGCCGGAGCTGGAGCAGCTGAAGGCCATCGCGGCCAAGCACGGCCACCTGCATTGGCAGGAGATCGCCGAGGAGCTGGGGGTGAGGACCTCCCAGACTGCAGGGGTGTGGGTGCTGCGGGGACCCGGAGGCCCGGGGGGATGGCAGGCGCGAGCCGAGAGGCAGCGTGCGGCTTGGGTGTCACGTAGACGGAGTCTTCCTGTGACTGCTCTGAGGGTCGTCTTGCCGAGCACGTCTGTGTTCGTCACAGGCGCTTGCTGTCCTGGGGCGGGGAGGGGGGAGCGAGTGGGTTGT